TAATAAATAATATAAAATGGTGCACAATCCCACGATAAACACATCTAAATATCACACTATATCACTCATAATACATAAGTCGAATATCATAATATATCATGATCCAGTTGTACTACAAATAAGACGCCACAACTTGATCCTCCTCTGGTACAAATTAGCATATTCTGCAACCGTCTCATCTCGGTATCTTTCCCAAAAAGCACATATAGGGGGTACTGGAAAATCAGATGACAAATTCAGACGAATGTAGTGTTTGTAAGAACCAAGATGACCTATTACGATCTCGCGTTCAGGTCTCGTAGCGGTGGATGGTGCGTGCAGCGGCAAGAATGTCATATTAAACCAGTCGATATTGTCATCATTGTCACCCTTGCCTAACAACACGACAACTGCATTAAACAGTGTAGCAATTACAAAGAGGTCGCCTAAACCTTCCATCCAATGCTCCTCGCCACAAGCACCCCCTTCCCATCTTATGTTATTGACTGCAGCGTCGAGGGCATAGTAATACACAGGATCGTACAGGTGTCTGTTTGCTGAAATCTCATTTGCCATGTTGTTTCTGACGTATCGCCACATATTCTGGTCCCTATACACGTAACTCGCCACCACCCAAAATCTGCAGTTCCCATCCAGCATCACATCCAGATAGCTCTATACGTAGGGATGAACTACGTATGGAATTCTGTCAAAATGCCGATATTCAAAGAAGGGTGTCGAGAAAGTCTTTGAAATATCAGAATAATTTCACGTCATAATTTAAATCATCGAATTTACAAACATAATTAGTTATCGTTCAGATAAACAAAAAACTAAAAATCACCTGTCAGATAATCAGAAAGTTGAGAAGACGAGCTTGTCGGTGCACACGAAGACGTGCTCTTACGTCCCACCGGACGACCTCTTTCCCTGTACTCCCAAATCGATGGAGCACACGAAGAAGTGCTCTTACGCCCAACCCGGCGACCTGTATCTGTGTCTTGCGACTGCAATGGAGCATAGAAAGAAGTTCTTTTACGGTGGCCTCTTTGAATGTATTCCCATTTGGATGGATCGCGCTTTGTTGAATTGGGCTTCTTGGGCCGACCTCTCGGATTTTCCTTCACTGGAGGTTCTGTGTAACCTTGTTGGTCAGGGTGAAGTGTAGAGTCCATTAACTGAGTAACATACTTCAACGTTGCAGGATCAACCTCTTCAACCTCCAATGCAAGCCTCCGAAAATTATCACGATCTGTCCATCCACTTCTCGATGCACTCTGGTGACCTTCCGTTAAAAAAAAATAATAAAAAAAAATAAACAACATACTATATAATTAATTATATAAATAAAAGAATACGTGAAAAAATTAAGCAACACACTCAACATCACAATTATATCTGGCTCCTTCACCACCAGTGTGCTCCAGAACTCGTGGATCATGTCGGGCGTAATTTCCATACCCATAGTGTATGCCCCATTTAGCTGACATGCACAAAGAAGTCCATGAGTGTAACTCAATACACATCCACAGCAATCCACAACATCTTCGCTCAAGTCTCGCATCCTCTGAAACTCATCATTCAATAGATCCAAACAATAATGCAAAACCCGCAATCTCAACTGCGTAAAAGGGAATCTACGGTAACCCGTATGAGTTCTAAGTTTCGAAGACTCCAGCGTTTCCCTGGTAATACATTACATAACGTTAGACCCAAATAAAACTTATAATGAATGTAGTAATAACACAGTAAATATGTATAAATTAAGGAATATACCAGACTTGAGTCATTTGAGACTCAATCTCATTGTCAATCTTCTCCCACACCGTGTCGAGCGAACCGATCGACGTGTGCAGCCACCTCTTCAACGTAGCGTGGACACTCTCCACCCTACACGTCGTCGTGTTGCCAAAATGTAAAAATGAGTTCGTTCACGCTCTGAAAAATTTCTCCTTATGGACTAACCATGTCTTCTTTACATATTCTAGCACAAGAGGAAATTCCGCGTATGTAGCATTCATATCAGCTAAGGCAGCTTCGTATGCATCCAACGTGCTCGCCTCGACGACCTTCTTCCACCTGCCGTGCGTGAACTTCTCTGCGAAGACCTTATTTTTTGATGTTAGTCTATACACATTGTCTTCCACATGTTTTTTGATGTGGCACGTGCACAGTAAGTGGGCCAGACTGTGGGAAATTCGTGTGGATAGGAGTAATCAACCCCAACTCCCTGTCAGTGACAATGACTGAAGTATTTTTAGCTGGCTCTAGAAGAAGTCTCAACTGCTGTAGGACCCAGTCATAGCTGTACGCGCTCTCGTCCATCATAATTTCATAGACAATTAAGAAGTTCCTGTTGCACGGCGTCATCCCAACCATCTCCACCAACGACATATGGTACCTGTAACAAGAGGATAAAACATACAATAAAAAAACTTATTCAATCAAATATAATAATTAAATTAAGATTCACAATCAACTGTCTATTTATAAAGTAATATGTCCGGAATAGACTGGCTGCTTGTGGATGCGACATGAACACATGTGTCAACGCCTGTTTGTTCGGATCAACATCAATGTAAACTATGTAGTTACTGACTGTAGCCAAATGTAGAAGCTGCCCAGCCACATCTCTACACTCCAAACTTTCTTTCTGCAATTTAGCTTTATGATTATACACTTGTCGGATAGTCGCGTTGTCCACAGAGTGTTTCTCTTAAATCGCAGCCAGCATTACTGCCGGTTTGCGTGAGAAGAACTCATATCACGGACAATATCTCTGGATGGATCACTGAGTCCGCTCATCTGTCGATGACCCTCGGAATTCACTGCCAACGCATGATTATGCGTTCCCTTCACGCCATCTAAATGAACCGACATACAAATTTTTTGGATATTGCATCAAGTTTGACGTTTATCATAAAAGGGCAGTCGGTCGCTTTTGTTTTCAAATGTCTCAGAAGAGCCTTAACAAAATTTCCTACTTTTCTTGCAATACCTCTGTAACGTTCCCCTCGATGACACCTCAACTCTTTTCCTCCTTTATCTAAATTTCTCGATATGACCAATTGGAAACCCCATATAATTGCAATGCCTTTTGCCCATTCAACAGCTTCAGCACAACTATCAAATAGATTAGTTGTAGCGAAACAACATTCGTAATCAACACCGTCTCCTCCAAAATCTTCGAGTGACCCCTACAATATATTACCATATATGTTAGTAATTTTTATAAAACAATCAATTATAACTTACATAGTAGTAGTAATTTGTAATTTTTTAATTAATCTGTCATAATACTAATAAAATAAGTTTTATAAGATAATTCATTCAAATTTGTAACTTAATAATTTATACTAAAAATTTTATAAGATAATTCATTCTAATCCATATATGTTAAAAATTTATACTAAAAAATTTATACTAATAAAACAAGTTTTATAAGATAATTCATTCTAATTTTTTATATTAAAAAAAATATTTTTAAGTAATTAGTATAATTATAGTAAAATAATAATTATCCTAAATACTAATATATAAATAAAATTTTTAATAACTTAAATACTAATATAGTAATTAGTATCATAATTATACTAATTACTAAAATAATTTTTAATAATATATATTAAAAGTTATATTAGTATATAAATTTAATTTTAAGAAATATTAATATTTATTTTCTTTATTAAATTTTATTATTAAATATTCATATTTAAGTACTATTACAAAATATTAATATAAATTTGTTATTAACTTTATTAATTACTTTTAAAAACATTTTTAATTAAAAAAAGAAAAAAAAAAGGGTCGCGCGGCGCACAGAACGGACCGGCCGTCCGCCCGAGGCCGAGCGCCGCTCGCAACACCAGAAACGGCCGCGAATAGCGGCCGTATGGGAACCGGCCGCACCCAAAAATTGCGGCCGAAAGAGAGTAGGCCGCAATAGGCGGCCGTCCCAACATAAATGGGCCGCAATCGTTGGCCGGCAGGTGCGATTGTGACCGCAATCTCCGGCCGGCGCCCAGATTTTATTTTTTAAAATTCGTTAAAATTGTAAAAAAAAAAAATACTTGTGAATTGGAGAGTCCTTTCCCGGTGTTTGAGGACTGTCCCGCCATTTTTTATGGATTTTTTAGGTTTTTTTCGAATTTTGTTCGATTTATTTTGATTTTTTTTGGATTTTTTGGTTTTGTTTTCTGATTTTTTTATTTTATTTTTTTTTCTTGTTTTTTTGCCCAATGAAATATTTTTTCCAATTTCTGGAATTTTTTGATAAGGTATGTATAGGTTTTTTGGTTTTAATGTTGTTTTTTTATTTTTTGAATAAAAAATATAATTTTTTTTTTATTATCTTTTTATTGAAAAGGACAAAATTGTTTTTTCGAGGAGCGGTAAATAGTAAAATGCCATGTGGTAAAACCACATAGTAACACCCTAAGTAAATCCAAGGGATGTGACTCATGTCTTATACTGACTTTAAGTTATTTATATATTAATTATTAATTATCGTTGTTTATTAAAAAAAGAAAAAGAAAAAGA